GATAATAATAATAATAATAATAATAATAATAATAATAATAAAATACTATTCCTTTTAAAACCTTAAGACTGTAATAAATGTAGTAAAACAATACTAAAGACTATCAAAATTATCTGAACCCTCAGTTTTCTTGCTTTATGAAATAATGTCTAGTGCAGGGGTGTTTATTAGTGATGCTGAATTACCCTTTAATCCCTTTAAAATAAATGCAATGGGAGGTTGTTTACCTATAAACATGCTGCATTTTGAGTGGGTGAGGCAATATCACAGCTGTGTGGGGATGATGTAAAATAAGAACAATAAAAGTGATGGATTAAATGACATTAAAGATTAAAAAAGGTCTAAATTGAAACTTTTTTCGTTTGAAATTAATTTAACAGCTCAAACTCACGGTATTTATTTATTCAGTAGACTTGTTGGGGACATTAGGTGCAGCCAAACATGTGATAAATAACATTATACAGGTGTTTATTACTGTGTCCACATTCGCGTCCCTCTTCCAGCCAGGTAAACCCCGCTCACTCGGGCTGCTCTGTGCAAACATCGAGCCAACCCTCTGGTTCCTCCTGCATGACGCACGGAGAGCGCAGCCAGTCCGCTCGGCTCAGCTCGGCTCAGCTCAGCTCAGCTCGGACCCGTCCACAGCAACATGCAGGATGGCGAGTGTGGAGACAGCCGCCGAACACGAACGCATCCTGCGGGAGATCGAGAGCACGGACACCAACTGCATCGGGCCGACCCTCCGGTGAGTCCCTCCCCGGCTGTCAGCCCCGGTTTGCCCCCCGTGAGCGCAGCTCGGCGTCGGGGACAGCGGCTAGCTGTGATTAGCATCAAGTTAGCAACTCCTCCGAGACTCCGGGAGCTTGCTCAAAACTTTAACGTGCGTGTGTCCATTATCGGACAGCTAGCCGGCTAACTTTAGCAAACACAAAAACAAGCTAATTCACATTAAGGACACTTGTGTATAACCCCGCAGAGTTTGTCCTGACTCTTACACGTATTTAACCCGACATTTTCCTTTTAGCTTCGCCCTCAAAGTTTGTCAACTTATCCAGAAGCGTTTGAGCAACTTAAGCTAGCACAAGCTAACTTAGCTAACTAATTGACATTCTGCTCACTGGTGTCACAGCTCACAATGGGAGCCGAGGTTGCTTCTGGTTTCTAAGCGCTCCCTGTTTGTTAAATTGCTCCTGTGTTTGTCGCCCAAGTCGGCCAACTTATCCAGAAGGAGCTTTAGTTGCTAGTTATTGTCAGTTAGCCGGCTGCTAAGTGGTTAGCAGCAGCTACAAGATATATCAAGGAGTGTCAAGTGCAGCAGCTCTGTCACAGCCCTGCCTCTGTGTGTGTGTGTGTGTGTGTGTGTGTGTGCGCAATGAATGAGCCCCACAGCTCCTGGGGTTAATTTAGGGTGATAACACACACACATACACACACACACACACACACACACACAGAGCCACTGGTTGGTGTGTGTCATGTGTTTAGACTGTTGCTGTAATCATTTAGTGGAAAGTGCACTTACAGACTGAAAGACTTTTCTGTTCAGTTTTGGGGTTTGTGCCAGGCTCCATGGTTTCACATCCCATTAGTGGGGAGGATGCAGCATGACTTCAGCTGGACCTGAAGTGGGTCACAGCCCTGTTTTTGGTGCTCAGCTTTCATGTGAAGATGTTTTATATGTCAGTCAGACTCCCGAAAATCAGGACAGGACGCAGCCTGGTTTGCAGTTTGTTTCGTGTCCTTTAAATGAACCTTCATTGGTGTTTATTTTATCTGAGTTACCACTTAAAAAAACATGTTTTATTGAAGCGTGTTTTCTAAAAATGGCACGCTCTCTCAGAATAAACTGCGTCCTTGGCTAGTTGTCTTTGAACTGATTGTCCAAAACGGAAATAGGTAGTGAATGAACAGGGAAATGCACCAGAGGAACTGGGCTTGTAAAAAGTGTGTGTGTGATGTCTTCTTGAACCCAATGTGTCGGATCACAGTAACACCTATTTACGCTTGTTATTTAGGCCAATTACTGTGCCTGATGGGAGGTCAGCAAGCCCAGAGAAGTGTGTGTGAGTGTGTGTTAACTAATCCAGCTGCAACACAACTTGACAACTTTGTGTGACACCTCTGGCTGCCACATTCTCCTCTGAGTGTGTTTGTGTGCCGCCCAGTGCCATGGTGAGCAACACAGGCAGCATGAGTCTTATTTTTCTGTGTGTGATGTTTCACCTCTTCCAGCTTCCTGTTTCTGTCAGGGTGAGTCTCAGTGTTTCCAGAGAACAGTCGCACACTTCAAGTATAATAGCACAGTCTATGTTTGGAGCTGTCAGCTACATCATCGGATATATTTAACCATAGTGTTGTTTGAAAGAGGGTTTTAATAGGCAGATATATCAGATGATGAAGGCTGTTAGCTGCAAAACATATATTTGGATGAGAGACAGTGCCTATAAACGGTTTCCTTTCTGGTGCTATTTTTATCTGTTGTCCCATAAACTGTAGATGTTTTGTAATTCCTGTTATTTTAAGCTCATGTACCACACAGATAAAAATGTTGTTGTTTGTTGCCTTTTCCTTTAATTTATCAGTGTGTCAAGGCAACTTGTTGACTTAAATAGTAGCTGGGAATAATGAGTGACATATCGACAGGTGGTGCCCTGTCATAAGTCTTATAAGATTGACTGGAAATGAAAAAAAGTCACTTAATTTTTCTGTAATATATGTGCCTTTATGCAGTATGCATTACAGTGTGTGTGTGTGTGTGTGTGTGTGTGTGTGTGTGTGTGTGTAAGATGTTTTAATTCAGAGCTGAAATGATAAGTCAATTAATGGATTAGTCGATCAGCATAAAGTTAATTGGTATAATTTGGATAATCCAGCTCCTTAAACGAGAATATTTTCCAGTTTCTCAGTCTTCTTTGGTGGTAAAAAATCTCTGGGTTTTGGCCTGATAGAGAGATTATTGATAGAGTAAATGATCTGCAGGTTTATTATCTCTGCCAGGCGTAAGTTTGAAAGGGATCATGCATTTAGTCGTGTGTGTATGTATGAGGAAAGAGGGATTAATACTTGTGCGGCAGACCCACGTTGTAGCCGCACGCGTGTGTCCTACGCCGTTGTGAGCATTTATACTTGTGCGGTGGTGTGTGTGTGTGTCACTCTGCAGTTACACCTCCAGAGCACTAGTCAGTGGCGGAGGTGTCTGTGAAGTGCTGTTTAGTTGATTCAAATCACACATTAAACACACATTAAACATGGCTTAATGGAGACAATTTCAAACACAAGTACACAAATCAGCTTCACTATAACTCGCAGCGTTCACAGACAAACACTTGTCTTTATCTGGACACATTTCCCCACAAATACAACATGCTAATGTTATTAGCACAAGCCTATGGCATTTTACATTGTATAAATTAGCCTAGCAGCTAGCAGACTTTTCCTCTGGTCATATGAAGCCAGGATAAATCACACACAAGACTTAAAATGCTATTTTTGTGGAGGCTTTATTGTCTTCACAATTTATTGTTTCTTATCTGTGAAATTAAAGTAAATAAAAGCTTTGTTTCCACTGAGGGAAATGGTTTCAGCTTACATTCGTCACCGAGATGTGTAGTTACATCTCTGGGGAGGTACACGTCAGGTTACGGCGGTTAGCATGTTATATTTGTTTGGAAAATGTGTTTAGTATAAGACAGTTGTTTTGTCAGTGAACCTTGTAAGTTGTGATGGAGCTGAATTTTGTAACGTTACCTTTGTTAAATGTTGCTGTTGTCCCTGGCTTCATATGAGTAGAGGAAAAGTACGCTAGCTGCTAGGTTAATTTATACAATGTAAAATGCCATATGCTTGTGCTAATAATGTTAGCATGTTGTATTTGTTTGGAAAACGTGTTTAGTATAAGACAGTTGTTTTGTCAGTGAACCTTGTGAGTTGTAATGGAGCCGAATTTTGTGACGTTGCCTTTGTTAAATGTTGCTGTTGTCGCTGGCTTCATATGAGAAGAGGAGAAGTCTGCTAGCTGCTAGGTTAATTTATACAATGTAAAATGCCATAGGCTTGTTCTAAAAACATTAGCATG